CACGCTGACCAGGTGGTGAAAACCAACAATCTATGGTGAACTGCTTCGGTCTGCATTGAATGTGTGGACGGCCTTGTCTGAGCTCTTCCACTGCCTTGCTGCCCGCCTTGTGACCTCGCTTCCAATGACTTCTCTTGCAGCCGGTCCGGTTGCCGTGCATTTTGGCTTAGCTTTGTCAGCACTGCTTTGCGCTTTGCAGCCCTGCTGCCTACCGTCTTCACCCGAATAGAACGCCCGGTCGGTCGAGCTGTACTCCGGGTGACTTCCAGAGCAGATGCAGCAATAATGCCTGGTCGTTCTGGTTGGGTGAAGATGGTGCCTGCCCGTCCGATTGCCTTGCCTTGTCTTTCCTTTGCAAGTTTGCAGCAATAATGCGACTTGTCTGCCTCGCAGTTTGGCTGCTTTGCCAGCGCTGCCTCGCGCTTCCACTGTTTCATTGCATTTTGCATTGCTGTTTGCGCTGCCAGTCATCCTACTCATTAGGTTGCCGCATCGGTGGGTTCAGTCCTCAAAAGGCCCATTAGGACTCTCTCTTCAACCTGCTGCTCATCGCTAGATCAACCGGTTTCGGGTCAAATCGATACAACTATCTACAACTTCATTACGCCTACACGTAAGGGTTTAAGCTTGCTGTACCAATTTACTCGCTGGCGCATTATGCAAAACCTATGCGTGTTCATCGTTCATTGATTGATGATGCGTCTTTTGGCCTTCGACTGATTGCTTGCATCGGGTTTCAGGTTTTCTATTTCACTCTCTTTCTTAGGATTCTTTTCGCCTTCCGTCTGTGATTTTAACATGGGCCAAAGGGCTCTCATGACCCGAGACGTCAATACGCGGATTCCACAGATTGTCAAGGGTCAAAGGCCCCTCCTGATGAGTCGGCCCAAGTCGGACAAAACAATATATCATCAGTTCTTATTTATTCGCGTGTTTGCTCTTCGTACTTGCACTTTTCTTTTGTCCCTCCGTGCCTTGTGTGCTTACGTCTTGACCGCCCTCCCACCTCCCCCGGGCCCTCCAGCCTATGAGGTTACCTCTCTGATTTCGCCTCGTAGTCCCTCGCCTGCCTGTTTCTTGCCCTCGCTGACTTTACCTGTGGATTGTCCGGTAATTTTCCTTGCCACATCCCAGTATCCTAGACTACGTAGCATTAGCATGGAGTGGGTGGCAATAGACCGGTCTATATAACTGGCTATGGCAGCACCAGGTAGACCGCTGCAATGGTGGAGTGCAAAGAGGACGCGCTACACACACACACACACACACACACACACACGCATGCACGCAGCCGCCCACACCCACCCTCACCTGCATGCATCTGCAAGTGCATGGAGGGCCATTGCAGGCACACACACACACACACACACACACACACACACACACAACACCACATGACAGAAAACAGTGATCGGCCAAGGAAACGATGAAACTCTCGTATTGTTAGCAGAGGAATCCCCTACCTCAGCCCACACAATAAGTCCAGGAACAACGTTTATCACAGATCGGGGAAGGGCTGAGGTTTTCTTTCTTCACGTAACAGTTCTCCATCATACTTCTCTACGACACGAATCGTTGTTTGGTAGTGCCCACCACTCCACTCCACTTTATTCTATCGACACGAATCATTGTTTGGTTGCTTCCGGCAACTTCCCGCCACACTACACTAGCTGTGTAGTATGTGTGTGTATGGCACCATGCTCCAGCTCCAGTTCCAGTTCTACTGCTTCCTGCAATTTCCCGCCACACTACACTAGCTGTGTAGTATGTGTGTGTATGGCACCATGCTCATCCCAGCACACCGGAACTGTGGACCACACGTCCTTTGGGACTTAGTGCGATACTCAAACGCTAAGGTGCATGCACAAGGTTCTTCATCAAGTGAACAATCAACCACAATAATCTTCTCCCCACCCTCTCATATCGATTGATCCACGGTCCGCAAAAGACTAAGAATTAAAAATTCCAAATATTCTCGAATTGCAGAATGCTGAACCCCTATTGTCTTCACTTGAATAGAACGACCAGTTAATGTGGATGCATTTGGTGCAATTTTTAAAGTCTAGATACTGCAATAACGATGAGGCATTCTATTTGCGGGAAGACGATAGTCCATGATACACCCTTCCGCAGCCCTCCAATAGTTATTTTCATCATTAAAGAATGCAACTGGGCGCCGGCAGGCCCACACATCCAAAAACCGGTCACCATGATTGCCAGCGCATGTTGCTCGAGGAGTGGTATTTTACTATTTACTATTTAGTATTTACTATTTAGTTTTTACTATTTACTATTTACTATTTAGTATTTATTATTTAGTATTATTATGTCAGCAGAAAAAAAAAAGGCAGCACTATTCATGGTGATCATTATTCCACATTATGAAGGGGGTATAACGTGGGCTTCCTCCTTTTTTTACCCCCTTAATTTTCACCATTTCTCTATGACAAAAAGAAAAAACATGATGTTGAATATTCAAGATAAACATGTTTTTTCTTTTAAAAAAATGCATATATTAAAAAAATGATAAAAGAAAGAAAGAAACAAACAAGAACCACAGAATCAACCTCAATCCTTTCATCACATCCACTAAGCATAATAAAGCAAAACGCGGGCCGTCCAAGACGCTCCCTGTGGGCCCAACAATCCATGTTCCAAACGTGGCCCACTTTTGCAGTGTTCTTTTTTTTTTCTTCTTCTTTTTTTTTCTTTTTTTTTTCTTCTTTTTTTTTTTTCTTTTTTTTTTTTCTTTTTTTTAATCCAGGTTTCATCGCCACGAGTTCACTGTGTGTAGTCTTAGGGCCTCGCCACACGGCACACAAAACGAAAAAAAAACGAGTGCATCTGCTCACGAAAGGTGGCAAAATACACACGTTAGAACGCATCTATTTATATTTATAGCAAACCGATGAACCTGGCCATTTTCTGCGAGAAGATGCACTCGTTTCGTTTTTCGTTTGGTGTGGTCATGCCTCCTATCTGACCCTCTATTTGGCACAAATCTAACGGTCTACAAGCACAGCGCCATTCTCCCATGCATTCATCTGCTGATGGATCTAACAGACTTATTAATGTATCTTCCCTACCATGGAAAGAAAAAAGGGCAAAAAGAAAAAGAAAAAAGACACAAAAACTGAAAATGCAATAAATAGTTAAATACATCAATCCTCCCAGAGACTCTACAGCTCAGTGTGTGCAGAGCATCAAACGTGCCTTCACCGGGCAAGTTCGTTCCCCCTTTTCCGCTTCCTCTGGCAGGCTGCCGCGCCACTCTCTCCACTTGACTGGCGCTTGCCCGCCCGTCTCTCTCTCTCTCTCTACACAAACGTTCTCCTCCCTTCTTTTTTTTTTACTGCAATCTAGCACACATAGTACACCCCCCCTCACATAGTATTTAGCATTTGCCCACCGCACAGAGTACCCCACAGCACAGAGTACCCGCCGGTCACCAATCATCCTCCGCAAAAAGTGTATGCGCACGGGTGTGAATCATGTGTGCATGAGACGATGCATGTGCACATAACAGCACAGCATGGGGTGTGTGTGTGTGTGTGTGTGTGTGTGTGTGTGTGTGTGTGTTATCATCTAGGCTACCAGCCAGCCCGCCAAGGTCACCTTGTTTTCCCAGACGGCCCGGCAGTGCAAGGGCCAAGGACGGTCCCGGCAAAAAAACAAAAAACAAAAAAAAACTAGGTTATGCAGAAAAATGAACTGAACAACTTTTGCTTCAGAGTCCCATCGAAATGCTTTACCAAATTTGAAATATATATATATATATATATCGTCACAAATAGAACTGCCCGGTAAACCGTAGGCAGAGAGAGAGAAGCGGACAACAAACGAGGGGCTGTGACAAACTGTTTCGCGGGAGTTTCACCGACTCATATATCGTCACCAAATATATATATCGTCAATCTGTGGAGTTGTGTGTAGCATGACAACCCAAAAAAAAAAAAAAAAAAAAAAACTTTACATTAAGTTTATATATCGTCAAATAGAACTGCCTACGGTAAACCGTAGGCAGAGAGGGAGAAGAGAGAAGAGGACAACAAACGAGGGGCTGTGACAAACTGTTTCGTCGGAGTTTCACCGACT